CCTCCTGAAAACAGCTGAAAATGTTCCCTGAGCAATCTAAGGGAATTGGCATGTGTGGCCCAGATATTTTTTTGCTTTTATTCCTTGGGCCAAATTCATAAAATATTTACAGTGGCACTACTCACTTTTACACCTCTTATTTTTTCACCAGACACAAAGCAAAATTTATCAGGATGATAAATTACTGTAAGCCCCAACCGGTCGCTTTCACCTCTCAGTCTAGTTTGGTTACGTTAGGGGGCTGTTCTGCACATTTGAAGTACTACTGAAGGACTCAGGAAAACCGGATACAGAGGGAGAACCACATCACTGAGATGACCTTGTGATCTCTGAGAACTTGAGGCAGAGTCTTTTGGATTTAGAGCACAGTGAGGTGCGCGACTAAACATGTGCACAGGTAAATAAATACCATGCCAAGAGATCCCAGCGGATTTATACTCAACTGAAAGAGGGTGCGAGAATTTCCAGGCGCTACTTGGGAAGCCGCTTCAAAGCGGAGGCCTCTGATGTCGGGAGCTCCATCAAATACAAGCCCAGGACATGCCTGCCACCAGCCAAAAGCAGCACTGTGAAACATAAGCCTCCCAAGTTCCGGTTTCCTTGGGAAAAGCTAAAACACAGCCACAGCAATTTACTCTGTATTCCAGGTTTTCTGGAATTAAATCAAGGGCCCATTAACCCTAGAAGAAACTACAGTGGCCCCACGAAGCAGATCAGTGCACTCAGAGCCCAGAGCGGCGCACATCTCAGGGCATCGCTGGGCAGCCTTGTGCACAAGCTTTACGTCATTATGAAAAGGCTTTCCATTCATCAAGGGAGACGCCACAGAGGAGAGGGTCATTAGCTGTATCATCTGTGCGGGAGTCACGCAACAGGGCACAGCGCTGGTCGCACAAGGTAAAAGACACCTGTGTGTACCTGTGAGACAGCCCCATCTGCCACCCTCAAGCCAGGAACATCAAAACGAGCACAGCGGCCCGTTGGAGGGACAGCTGTATCACCACAAAGAGAACAAAGTATCAGTAATACTGAATTACTGATCCAGTCACCCCGCAAGGGTACAGTACAACCCCAGAGGAGGATTGGTCTGGTTAAGGGACAACCACAGCTTTGGAGCTTAAATAAAAAAATATCAAGTAGCAATCAATCATTCATTTTCACAAAAACAGCTCTTTAGCAGATCTAAAAGTTTTGCAATACTAGTGTAGTTAGACAGACAGCTTATATACTGTATCGCCTCAAATGGAGACAGAATTGTTTATAAGCACAATGACGCATGACTGATTCTTGTTTTCAGCTGTTGAGTCACAAAAACTCCCATAATTCCTTTGTACTTTGTGTCTCATTTTGAGCCGAAACCCAACTGCTTATAAACTTGGCGTGCTCAGCAGAGAAGTACATTCATTAGCCAATACTATGCTAGTAATCATTCTGAACCCTATGTCACCCTAAGCCTGCTGAGCCTATAGATTAATGATAAACTGACAGAGGCTGATTAGCTGCACAGAGTACCAGCGAACAATATCAATATCACATATTGACACCAGCTGTAGAGGTGACTGTGCAGTGCAGGGAAGCCTGTGTCCCCATGAGACCTGTTCATTTGAACGGTAGCGTGAAAGTTGACAGGCCACTACCCTGGGCTGACTCTTCAGTCTGTCAGCAAACTGCTCCATCAAACTCGTCCGACACATTTCCGGTCGCGGCACAGCGCGCCGCCGGCAGGACTCGCTCAGCCCTGGTCACAACACCGCCGCAGCCAGGGCGATTACAGCAGCTTCCTCCAGGGGGGGCAACACTGTGGTGCTTCAGCCCCC